ACACACAGAAATCTCATTAAAACACCAAATCAGAAACCATAATATATATTCAAAGGACCAGTAAAGGAGGGGAAAGCCCTAGCAAAACATTAAAAGACAAAGAACCTCCAAACATGCCATTGAGTTCATTTTGTGTTGCCCATCTACTGCTGGGCATGGGGCCTGGCCTTAAGAGTGGGTGAGGCTCCATTGGAGAAGATTAATTTTTCCCTTGTGAGCCTTTATCAATTGGGATAGCATCTGAGTTAGGGATGAAGTCTTGTTTCCATTTCCCCTCTCAGTGCTGGGACCCCATCTAGCCTAGACCTGTGCAGGCCCAGTGGATGCTGCCACAGTCTCTGTACGTTCATATGTGCATTGGTCCCAATGTATTTAGAAAGCCTTGTTTCTTTGGTATCTTCTATAACCTATGGCTCTTACAATCTTTCTGTCCCCTTTTCTGCAAGATTCCTGAGCCCTGAGGGGAGGGATTTGATAGAGACATCTGTAGGAGGACTTTTCTGTCCCACCAGACAGTTCCCAAATAAACACACAAAGACTTATTACTAATTATAAATGCTCAACTGATAGCTCGGGCTTGTCAGTAACTAGCTCTTATATTTTAAATTAACCCATATTTCTTATTTACACTCTGCCATATGCCGGTGCCTTTTTTCAGTATGGCAAGTTCATCTGACTTCTCTGTCTCATTGTGTTTCCCAAGATTCCACCCTTCTTCTTCCCAGTGTCCTCTTAGTCTGGTTCTCCCACCTAACATTATCCTACCTAGCTAGAGGCCAGTCAGCCTCTTTATTAAACTAGCCACAGCGACATATATTCACACAGTGTAAAGGAATATTCCACAGATATCCCTTTTAGGACTGAGTATTCCAAGGTCTCTTACTCTCTGCAGTGTCCAGTTGTGGGTGTCTTTATTTATTCCCATCTACTGCAGATGAAAGCTTCTCTGATGATAGTAGAGAAAAATACTGATCTCTGAGTATAACAGTGTTCTTAGGGGTCATTTTATTGCTACATTCCTTTAGTGGAACAGTAGTATTTGGTTTTCATCTAGGTCCCAGGAGTATCTGGTCTCAGGTTCTTGGCCACCTGTGCAGTATCAGGGAGGGTTCCATATCATAAAGTGGTTGGTTACTCTCAAAAGTCATGTCATTATTGCACTAAAGAATCTTGCCAGCAGGTCACCATTGTAGATTGAAAGGTTTGTAGCTGGGTTGGTGTTTACCTTTCTCCTCTGGCAGTGTGCAGAGTACCTTCCAGTATCATGAATACTAGTCAGTAGAAGTGAATGCTGTAGTATGCCCGCTCTTCTTACAACTTGTTTCCTTCCTTCCTTCCTTCTTTCCTGTGTGTGTGAGAGAGGGGGAGAGGAGGGGGAAGGAGAGAGAGAGAGAGAGAGAGAGAGAGAGAGAGAGAGAGAGAGAGAGAGAGGAGCAAGAGAAGCCTTCTGGCCTGGAGTTAAGAATTCACTACATAAAGCAGGCTGGCCTTGATCTTGGAGTGATTCTCCTGCCTTTGCCTCCCAAGTACCAAGATTACTGGTATGTAACATGACACCTGGTATCACTACCTTCCTCTTTATCTTTTTGATAACCTTTGCCATCATTGGCAACAATGTCCCCTAGTGTTATTGATGGAAAACTGAGGCCAAAGGAGTCAAGTCACTTGTTCCAAACTTGAGTGTGAGAGAGGAAACCAAACACAAGTTTAAAATTTCAGCAGCTGTGGTTTTGTGTCATTATTGGGTTTGTTTATTTTTCAGAATATAAATTGAGTATCTTTATTAAATATACCAAAAGAACATTTCTTAGCAGTAGTCAAGGGCCCAACTTGGCACCATGAGCACTAGGTCCAATCACTTGCTGGGAAAAAAAAAGAAGTGGAAATTTTATGGAGAGCAGGAATAACATCCAATAGAAGCTTTTGGCAAAGTAGAAGAGAATGCAAATAAAAGGGAAATATAGAGGACTGGAGAGATGGTTTATTAGTTTAGGCACAGGCTGCTCTTTCAGAAGTCCCGGGTTTGATTCCCAGCACCCATATGTTGTTTCACAACCATCTGTAACTCCTGATGCAGGAGATCTGATACCTTCTTCTGGCATCCTTGGATACCAAGTGTGCAAGTGGTCCTCAGATACATACACGCAGGTTTAAAAAAAAATCCTACATACATAAAATAAAACAAAACAAAATGAAGTGTGTTTAGGCTTGCAAAATATCTTTGGAAAAGATTAGTGTTGTATATTTTCTGAGATGGAGGAATCTTTGATCTTGATGCTTAGGACATGAAACAAGACAAGAATATAAGGACATTTCTTTGGCTCCAATAGGTAATGCTGCCTGTGAGTTATGAGCACAGGACTACACTTCATTAGCATATTCCATATTTGCAAGGAGTATTCAGTGAAATCTCTATTGTCTGCTGTGTAGTGAAATGCAGAGCTGGCTAATAGAAATGCAGAAAGACAGGCCAGGCTACGTGAGTGGGCAGAAGGATGGCAGATGGGCTCCTGCATGGACAACTGGAAGATAAGGAATTTAGGGAGAAATAATCCAAATCATTCTCCCAAGACTAAAGGGATTTGAAGTATCCGCTACAACAAAATTTAAAGATTTTATGGTCAATGCGTACCTTTGTCCCATGTATGTTTTTATAGTGGCACTGCATCTCTAAAAGATCAGCCTTCCAACGGGTGAATTGAAAATGAGCATCTTAAAGAGGTCATTAAAGCAGAAGACAGCATCCTGCTTAAACTGACAGCCATGGCTCGCTTATTCTGAAATATTCTGAGCCCTGTTTTTTTTTTTTTTTCAACCTACTTAAGCAATTGTAATAAAGTGGGAGAATGCCCAGGTGAAATCACTGATAGGAGAAAGGAGCTGTTTATCAAGTCACACTTGCAAATGTTAGGATTTGTCAGCTCAGGGAAATGAGCGTTTATAAAAACTACAGGGCTATAGGGCATTCAACTTGATTAGCATCTACTATGTAAATGGAGTAAGACATAGAGCTATTCAAAACCTAAATCAGGGCCTGGCAAGACGGCTTGGCAAATAAAGGTGCATGCTGCCAAGCCTTACAGCCCTACTTCAATCTCCTGGAACCACATGATGGAAGAAGACTGGCTCTGCCAAGTTGTCCTGTGACCTACACATGTGTAATGTGGCACTCATATGCCCATATACACACACACATATATATGAAATAATAAATAAATAAATACATTGTTTTTTTTAAACCTTAAGCCTAGATCAAGTTAGGAAAAACAACTGTTAGGTAGCCAATAAGCAAAATTCAAGGTAGCACAATATGTATTTTAAATATGTGAGTGTGTATTATATATGTGTGTTATATATAGCAGATATTTATTACATATTATATATAATATATTTTATAAACATAAAATATTACATGGTAATATTTTAGGAGCTGTTACATCCTGGGGCACACATGGACACAGAAGGGGGAAAATATTTTTATTATTATACTTGTTATTCTTTTGTTTAAAAAGAAGAAAAATGCTGAGACATGAGACATATTGACTATAAGTTTATTATAAGGCCCGGCAGAGTAGGGAGACTAAGAAGAGGAACAGGGGTAAATGGCTGACTGCCATGGCCGGTCGCCGTAGAGAGACAGAGCGAGCACATAGGTGAGAGAGAAAGTAGAAAAGAAGCTGAGAGGAAACAGAGCGGGGAAACAGAGAGAAGAAACAGAGAGTGTAAATGGGCAGGGACCTGTCTTTTAAAGGGGTCCTCTGCACCTGTGTGCCAGACTTAGTGCCCATGGAACCTTGGGCTGACCAGGGTACTGCCTGTTCCACCAGGTAACAGGGGCAGGCCAGCATAATGCCTGAACCTTTCAATACTCATAATTTATTGTTTTAAAAAGTGGTATTTGAAGATGTGGCCAAAGCTTCACAGCATTTGCCTTTATGTAAAAACAAGCTTGATAATCAGACAAACTGATTCAGAGCCCATGGTCTTCACACAAGGGCTTATGGGTAAGTAACTTGGCCTTATAGACCACAGTTTATCTGTAAGGAGAGAAGCCCTTCTGGATAGGGATGTTGGAAGACAGAGAGTGACGGCTGTCAAGCATTACAAGGACAGGACTGGGACTGGCACTCCCTTTGGTATCTCCTCCTTTGAGATCTCCTCCACAGATGCCCTTGATGGCACTTGGACACCCATTTACCCCAAGAAGGCAGCACTAATGCCTGATGTAACCTAACTTGCCTACTTTAATCCTCACCCACACCCATTCTTTCCTATTCATTGAGTCCCACCCCCAACCCTGTCCCCACCTTGGCCTGGTTTCAAGGCTTGCTTTAGCATTGCGGAAATAACTGATCAACCAGTCCCAGGGCCCTGTTCTTAGGGACCCGACTTGGGAAGAGCTAGGTATAAATACAGGCATTCCAACCAAGTCATTTCCAAGAATGGCTTTTTAAAAAAATGTCAGAGTTTTGGGGACTATGGTCCAGCATTTTCAGTGAAGAGGTGGGAGCAATTCTTCCTCAGGAGACAGCATTTGAATAATAGAGGGACGGAAGTGTAGTTACCTGGAAGTCTCCAGGCGACTGTCCCACAGGTGCTGGGGCAGAGTGGAAGGAGGTGGCGGGAGGTGGGAAGGGATCATAGAGTCCCCCAGGTGAAGATGAATGTTTGTGGTATGTGTGTGGGGGTGGGGGTTGGGGTGTGCTCAATCTTTGTCCTAAAAGCACTAGGAATCCAGGGAGTTTTCAGCCTGTCATTGCTCAGAGTGGGTTTGTGTATCAGGGGGGTCTCATAGCCAATGTACAGAGTGAGACCTTGGCCCTCTCTGCTCTCTCTACCCACGATTTCTGACTGTTGACCCTCCAACCTCCCTACCCAGTCTCTCTGGGTAGGGTCAAGGCTACATAAACCTCTTTGTACTGTTTGTGTTGTAGGACATACACATTTTCTTTTTTTTTCCCCCTTAAGTAAAATAGTTAACCCAATACATGTTGTTTCAGGTTTTAAAAATCAGTTTGATTGGCCACAGGAAACGCATCTTGGCATCTCTGGGAGACAGATTGCACGAGGACCCTCCGCAGAAGCCCCCTCGTTCCATCACCCTCAGGGTAAGTGCCACCATGGCCATTTTGCTCTCTTCCCCTCTCCTAAAAAAGAATGTTGTGCAATAAAAGGCCTGAGGCTGTGGAGGAGGCTGTTTTCCTCATCACTTGCCTTATCTGTATAGAGAAACAAACTGTTTTCCTCATCACTTGCTGTATCTGTATAGAGAAACAATCTCCCTTTTGATTGTGTTTGGTTTTCTCAGTATATAACCAGAAATTTAGAAATATATTTTAAAGGAATTCCGTTTGACTAGCCAGCACCTTTTAGAGACCGCCCCTTCATCCCCAGTCTTTCACTCCCAAGAGAAAGAAAATGAGTTTTCCGTCAGACTGCTCAAACCCACGGAAAAGAAATCGATCAGGAACCACAGTTAAATAAAAATCAATTTAAAATTAACCTCAGGGTCCTTTTGTTTTTCAAGAGATGAAAAATGACCATTTTTGCCCTAAGAATATAGACTCCAAAATTTTATTTAGTAAACTAATGATTGTTTCCTTCAGCTATATTTTTAGAAACATGGGGTAGGAAAACTAAAGAGAAATTGTAAAAGGTAAAAACAAAAAAGAAAAGTGAGATAGAAGGGGTGAAAAGAAGTCGAGAGGTGATCCTCTGGTGAGATGCTAAAGGCAGAGGGCGGAGCCATAGGCCCCGCCTTTCATGAAACCCACGTGGTCTCTTCTAAGGTCCAGTAGGAAGCTAAGGTCTCCTTGACAAGCTCAGTTCTCCATTTAATCCTGCACTCATTTGCCTCGTATTTCCGTCGCAAGTGTCAGGAAAGGTAGCCATAAATGATGAACACAAGCATATGCTCCTTGGGAAATAAATGGCCCTGGTAGGTGACTTAGGTAAACTGCAGGTCACAGCCATTGTGGCAGGGGGCTGGACAGGACTGAACCTAGAATGATGAGTCCGATTCAGCTTAGAAGAAGAAATAGAGTCCATGACATGCAAGAATCCACAAGATGCTCCATCCAGGAGCCAAGAGGAACTGAGTACGGGGACATCAGGATAAGCTAAGATGTATGTAGGCTACTTCAGGGTTTGAGGAATAAGGAAAGCAAAGGTAAGACTCATATTTATCCCTCCATAGTAGGCCTCCAGTACATTAGAACAAAATTATTGTCTTGCCTCCCTCTTACTTCGTGGAAAGGGGGAAGGCTCCGAGCACCATCGGGTAAGTCACTTCCGGTTTACACTGCTCCCTGGCCTTTCCCTGCTGAACCTCTTGCCCTGACTCTCAAGAAGAGACAAATTAAAGATGGGCAGGGGGAAGTCCTAGAAAAAGTGGGTCTAACTCTGCCAGAGGAAGTCAGGGGAAGAAGTGACCTGCAGAATGGAATCTCATGATTCCAGTCCTCTTGTGGCTTAGGGCGCGGCCATTGCCGTCCTTCATCTTACTCTGGCCAGTCTGCAGCTAGAGTTGTCTTTGCTGTTGAAAAGCATCCTCTGTCATTATACGCATTGCTCTGCAGTCTGTACGTCGCGTGACATGCTATGTTGCCATACTGTGTCCACCTCCCAGCCCTATTGTCACACCACACTTTGGTCCAGGATCAAGACCTATCTGGTCCCATGTTAGCTTCTTGTAATGGCATCTCCCGCAGTGAGGATGAGCTGCCCACAGTTCCTTCCCTGGTAAACACGTGATAGTGTTGGGATACCCCACGGAGATGAATCTCTTTCCCGAGATCATCCAAAATACTGGGTCAAAACAACAGCAGCCACGTGTAATTCTTTATACTTTATACCTCTGACCTGAGAGCATTGGGAGGCAGGAGTATTGACCAGACCACACCACTAATAGAATTAACATTGGAATGGTAGCAACCCCAGCAGATGAATGAAAACTACTCCCACCCACCCCCTGTAGATTGTTGTGTTCATATTTCACAGTTTTTGAAACCGAAGGATAGCCGCAAGAGCATGGTATTTACTTCGTGATGTATTTCCATTCAGGAACCCAGTGGTAATCACACTCCTCCTCAGTTGTCTCCATCACTTAGCCAAAGCACTTACACCACTGGTGGCTCCCTAGACGCTCCTCACATTATCATGCAGGGCGATGCCAGGAGGAGAAGAAATGAGAACTACTTTGATGATATTCCCCGATCAAAGCTGGAGAGGCAGATGGCTCAGGTAAGGTGTTCGAAGCCTCTGTGATGTGTTTGCCTTTCCCCCACAGCAGGTAATGCTCTCAGATACTGAGCAGTAGCTCACGAAGGATGCTACTATCCACGCCTAAGTGGAACTTTGCCATTTTTATAAAGTGTGCTGGCTGCGTGCTGTGCTTTCTTGAACTTGAAGCAGCCCCTTCTAGGAGATGGATATATACATAGATCATTGTAAACCATTCTCAGTGAGTTACTTACAGCTAGCTGGTCTCACTGTCTGTGCTCTCAAAATCTTTGTGGAAAAGAAATATATCTGGGCCAGAATCAAGTCACAACAAGACGAATAATAAAATTCTAGGTTTTAAACATAAATTGGTTGGATGGTGTAGCAGAAGTTTGGGGAAAGGGTTAGCTTCCTGTGAGGTCATTTCCTCCTAAGCTCACGTGTTTATACAGAAGCACCCTCGTGGGAGTAGTTGCACCATCACACATTGTCACCTTGAACAGTTAGAAGTAACAATGCTGCCTGACACAGATTTGAAAAGAGAACCCTGTTAGTCAGCCCTTCCCTCCTTGGTACAAATGCTCACTTAACTGTGTCCCTGGATCTCTGTTAAGACACTTGAGTCAGCCATAGCTAAACAGTGACACATATCCTTGTCAGGTGGACAGCTAGTTCTGCACCTCTGCTCCTCATTTCAGAGATAAGGACATATGGACAGCTATGGGCAGAACCAGTCCTTCCCATTGTCATTGTAGGTTGAGCTGGAAGTTCTGAGAGCCTTCCTTCTGCCTCCCACATATTAGCTGAGAACTCAGAGGTGAAAATTTGACTGTAATTGTTTTGCCTTAGTTGTTAATTTTTTTCTCAACTGTTTGTGAGATTGTGTTTTTGAAAGTCTTTGGGAAACACTCTTGTGTTTTAACTCAAGGAAGAAATATGTAAAGAGAATGTTCTAGAAACCCTGACTATACTGTTTACGATGCCTTGGTGAGAGAGGGCCTGCAATGCTCTCTCAGTACTGAATTGTGTAGGGGGTGGCAGTGTTGGGACTTATGGTTTTTGTTAAATAAGATGGAATATGGGAGAGGGGAGAAAGGGATAATTTTCCTATTCTCTGTGGTTGGCTACTATCTGTAAATCTGCTGCTGTTTAAACTGAAGCTCTTCTAAATAGGGAAGATGGAGGGTTCCTTCCCCAAGCCACTCCTAAATTTCCTGCTCTTAGTATCTGTGGGACACATATGCAATTGGTTCAGCTCACCTAATGGAAACATCTGAGACATGGCTTTCAACCTTGAATCACATGATCTTTAGAGAATCATTAAAATTCAGTCATTTCTGGATCCTTGTCCTCCTGGGTAAGGCAGGATGGATCTTCAATGAGCGTTAACTATTATTGACTGAGTCACCTTCAGTAACCAAAAAATTAACTGTCTCAGCTACTCCTATCATTTGTGAAATTTCTCCACATGGGGCAGTCTTTCCAAAGAGGAATTAATTACTCTTCTGCTTATTGACAGAACACTCAGAGTAACCTAGCAAAATCATTCCCTTCGTTTCTCTTTCAGAATCCCAAGCAGGGCCAGGAATACTTTTGATAACCCAAATCTTTTTCCTGTCAGTACACCCTGAAATGCATTCTTTTTAGGAATTGTCTTGCCTTGAGAAAATTGAATGGACCTTTATCTGGCCAGGTGAGAAAAACCCAAAAGCAGAAAGCCAAGTGAGATTGGTGGGCTGATGGGCTGTGATAGAGCGATTGCAAGCATGCCTATTTACCTCACAGGTCCAACTAAAAGCGATCGAATAACTGATGGAGACAGAGGCTCCATCGGCAGCCTGGAGCATATTAGACACCTTCTAGAATCCTGCAGTTCGATATACCACTTTAGCTGCAGAGGAAAAAGAAGAGAGCACTACTGGAATCTGATCAATAAGAAAAAGAGATTCTGGGATTGCAATTCTCTAGGCTGTATTCATTTCAGTTTGGGAATTTGTTTTGAGACTGTGTTCACAAGGATAAAAATCATGGTGTAATGAATGTATACTGCATAAAATAGTGCCATTCCAAACCTTTAGCCATTCAAAATATGAAGTACTTGGTGATTTGGTTGTTTGAACAGTGCAATTTATCTGATCAATTATAGTTTATGTTTTGTTTTGTTATCTTCCCCATTTGGAGTTGGGGTCCTTTGCTGTACAAATTTTTGAAATTCATTTGCTTTTTTAACAGTCTGAAACACTTACCCCAGACCATATCTTCTCCTGCACTTGTATGTTGAGCTATTCAACTTGGGTTTTAATGGGTTAGAATTAGCAGTTAAAATCTCTACAAGAAAATGTCTTACCAACCAGCAGTATGGTTCCAGTGCCCCTCCCCCAAATGTTTCTCCCAAGAGGCTTGAAACTAGGTGGGCTAATCCCTCTCTATTTCCCATAAAATACCGGAAGTCTACCTTTAAGCTCACTTTTTCCTGCAAAAAGGAGGGGGAATGCAATTGGTAGGAGACCCCCAAGACAGGGTCTCATACTTAGGAACCCCTCTACACCTTCCTGTTCACCTGAGCCCCTCTGCAGGGATTTGGAATACCAGCCCAAGGCCAGAAACCTTCAAGTTCTAAGTGGCTGCATTAACTCACAGGACTTTTGCTTTCTTGAAATCTGTCCAGAAGAACTACTTTGCTTAAGTAAAGAAAGAATCCAAGTTGAAAATTAAATTGAGATCAGCACAGCATCCATTCCACCTATTGAACTTGTTTGTTAGCAGATATTGAAAATTACTGCTAGGATAGTATTCAATTCCCTATTTACAATTTAAACCAATAAATGGTTTAAATAAATGAAAGATCTCTGTCTTGGGCCAGCCAAATGGCTTAGTGGCACAGGGCACCCACCACCAAACATGACAACCTGGGCTTCATCCCTGGAACATACATGTGAAAAGAGAAAACCAACTCGGTCCCCTCTTCTGACCTCCACATGTATACTGTGGCATGCTGCACTCACAATGCATGCATACATACACACACACACACACACACACACACACACACACACACACACACACACGTGTGCGCGTGCATGTGCACATGAGCACACAGAATAAATAAACAAATGATGCCTGTCTTGGAATATAGGCACTTTGTAAATATTGTGGCTGCTGTTTGCTTTGATCAAATATAAGCACTATTCTGGCATCCAGTGTGAAAAGCAGAGTTGATTCCAACACCGATAGTATAATGATATAAGCACATCTAGCTAACGGTTTCCCTGCCATTCTAAAAATACAGTTACTCTGGCCCAGGCTTCTAAACTGAGATCATTAGTCCAGAAGTTATGAAAGGGGTCTCCATTCCCTACCTCTTTAATAAATGTTGCACTCACACATAACTCTACCTCCGTGTGTGTGTGTGTGTGTGTGTGGTGCTTTTCTATTTCCAGGGGACCTTGGCATCTGTTTTATCCCTTTTTAGCATAAAGAAGGTGCCCTACACACTGCTCATGTGCATCTCATACATGGCAGAGCAGCATTATGTTCTAATGTCTGTGAAGATGAGACAGTAAATGCAAACACGGGAAATGCACCAGATGGAAGAAAATACCCCCACTATTTAGGGCCTAAATGCAACACTTAGCAGTTTTCTTAAATGCCACTTTGGAGAAATTAGTGTACTCTTGAAATGAGTCAAGGAAGAGGCTGGATTTCTGGTGTTCAGGAGGTACAGTCTCAGACTCTGGAAGAAAAGAGCAGAGTCCCCACATGCTGAAATGCAGTGGCCATTTATACAAGACTTCCCTTTGCAGAAATTCATGAGAAAAATGAAGTACTGCGTATGTTTTCACAGACATAGAAACAGGAAAAGAAGCACACTCTTCTGCACCAGCATCCACTTAGATGCCACCAAGGAAAACCCACAGTGTGAAATTCCTTGTGTTTTGAATGTTCTCACTGTTATGAAAATAAAACAAAACCCAGAAATATTGCCTGGGGCACATATCAAGCACTCTAAAGGCTTTTCCCAAATTGTTTCTTCATTAGAAATTTCGTTAATTCAGTTGAAAGCCTAATAGTTCTTGATCTACCAAGAATTACTTACAATGTATGACTAGATTAATTCCTCCCTCGTTTGAAAGTACTCTACATGTATTAATTCCACAGATATTCATTCTTTTGACATTATTAAAGGGAAGAAAATAGAAACATCCACGTGGGGGCCCTGCTGCCACCATTCCTGCTGGTCCCTGCTGGTCTCTGCTGGTCTCTATTGGGTTTTCCTGTACACTTCTATTATTTAATCCCCCTAACAGTCCATCTGCACTGAGGTGGGTGAGGGTTTTGCCTCATGAGAAATAAGTGGCAGCTTTCTGTCTCATGCCTTCTGCCAGTCTTCTTTCCCTGTACCCCTGATGCCCAATGCCATAAAATAGTCTGATAACAGTTCAACAAATAGCAATTTCCCATGTGTTGTAATAGATTATGTATATGTAGGTACAGGTATTGAAAGGAAAAAACCATGTATAGCTTAGTGGAAACTATGAATCGGCTCATGGTTGCCATCAGGAAACCTGTTAGGTAAAAAGTTATAAGGTTTATAGCAGATAAAGTAGAGACCCTTGAACAGGGCAGTGGTGGTGTAAGCCTTTAATCCCAGCACTTGGGAGGCATAGGCAGGTGGATCTCTGTGAGTTTGAGACCAGCCTCGTCTACAAGAGCTAGTTCCAGGACAGCCTCCAAAGCTACAGAGAAACCCTGTCTCAACACCTCCCCAAAAGAAACAAACAACAAAAAAAGTAGAAATCCTGTCCATCTTGGCAGCACTCTGTCTTCCCATATCTTCAGGAAGCTTTGTATGTGGGTGCAGGATATACTCTGTACACAGAAATTCCTGCTGGGAGTTTCTTCAGATGGTGAGGCTGGTTTCTCCATAGTGTCCTCAGCTGGGGTTCTGAGTTGATTTTTTTCTGGCTATGCAACCTGAACCAAGTTATGTTGTATTTCTGAACTTTAATTTACTTGCATTA